TTTCGTATCATTAGAATTAAAAATTAAATATTTCGAAATTTCGAAAATCTTCAAAATTCAAAAAAAATGTCAAATTCTCAAATCTCGAAACTTTTTTGTTATTTTAATGATTATGAAACTTAATTTTAAAAAATATACAAAAATATTGACAATATGAATTTATTTTTATTTAATTATTCGATTAAATTTTATGCAGATTCATTTTAATTGATATTATTAATTTATTATAATAAATAGAATATGAATGCACGAAATAAAATAGTTATATAAAATATAGTAGAATTTTTATATTTGTCATATTTTTTTGACAAGAAAATATTTCAATATTCGTTTAAAAATATAATATATATTCAATTGTCAAATTTCATTGCCCAACATTTGTAAGAATATAATTTTTTCATCATTTTGATAAAAATTAAATTTCTATTCAAAATTTTACTTATTTTTGTTTTAAAAAATTGATTCTATGTTCTTTATTCAAGAATAAATTAATGACGAATATAAAGGTTTTACCTAGAATCAATTAAAATCGATATTAAGAATATATGAATGATATTAAGAATATAATAATAATTATTTATTACTGATAATAATATATTATATTTAATTTGCTATTTGTAATTTTTCCATGAATATATACTATCAAAAAAAATAAAATTCAAAAAAATGTCTATATTATCAAGATCTTGTAAATGGAAATTTAAAAACTCCTCTCATTTTTTCTAAAATAACATCTTAAAATATTTGTTTCTAAAAATGGATTTCAATTAATTTTTAAAAAAATAATTTATGATCATCAATAAAAAGTGAAGTAACATTGATTTTGAAAAGAAACTTTTGTATAAAATTTTTATATAATATATATCTTGAGTTATAATTACCATTTTAATTAGTACTATTAATATTACCATTAGTAATATTCAAGAATCATCGATTCTTGTTTAATAATTGTTTAAATATTTTTTGTTATATCATTCTTCAAACTATGTAGAAAGGAATATTTCAAGTAAATATTGTTAGATTTGATGACAAAATTTATTATTTAAATAATAAAAAATAATCTCAATAATAACGCTAGACAAATCTGTGCAGCAAATGAATATTAATTAAAAACAATGTTTGATGACGTAAAAGTATTTGCGTTATGAGATCTCAAGGTCTTTTTGATTATAATATTTTCATTATGAATAAACACATTCATTATTTAATTATTGTCTTTTATAGATATAGGGAACATTTTCAAATATTTGTTTTTCTTTGATTGATATTTGATTTTTTCTTTATGTATGTGCATGTAATCATTTAATAATTTAATTAATAAAAATCAATTTTATCTTGTTATAATAATATAATAATTATATATTATTCTTTTCATATTATTGTT